ATCAAATTTTAATTTTCGATCCTGATTGGCAGATTGCTAAGTATTTTTTTTAAATTTTTAGAAGTTTTTTACAATGCTACTGAATTACTTTCTGGAGTTTATTATCCTACTGCATATTTAGCTTTACATCAACTATTTAATATTTCAGAAACATTTTCTTATTATAGGGATACAGAACTTTTTAGAAATATAGTTAACTTAATGGAAAATAAATTTAAAAGTTATTGGTCAGGTTGTCCTATGTTATATGCATTGGCAACCATTTTAGATCCTAGGTGCAGAGTAGATGAAACTGAATCATTGATGACTGCTACTGCAAAGAATTTAAAAATAGATATGCAACTAAGTATTACTGACGCTAAGAAAATGTTAGAAAAAGTTTTTAGTTTGTATGAAGCAAAATATAGCATAGATCAAAAAGAACAGGGAACTTCGTCGTCAACTACCAGTTCGGGACCTAAAGGATCGTTGTGGAGTTTCTTGAAGAAGAAAGAAAAAATGGCAAGATCGTCCTCAACACAAGCGTCTACGGAACTAGTCAAATATTTTGAAGCAAATTTTGTAATCGATGACGATAAACTAGACATCTTATAGTGGTGGAAGCGCAAGACAGATCGTTTTCCAACACTGTCCATAATAGCTCGTGACATTCTGACAACTCCAATGTCAACGGTAGCATCGGAGCAAGCTTTTAGCGCAAGCAACCGAATTCTTGACGATAAGAGATGCAGAATGCATCCAGATATCTTGGAGGGACTAATGTGCGTTAAAGACTAGGAAGATGTCAGAAGACGAAAACAACAATACACAGATGATTCGATGCAAGAATATTTTTCTAACTTAGAAATAACAGAATCTTCTGGAAGCACTTAGGTTTGTAATTTACTATTCCTAGCTACTGCACTCTTTTTTCCTTCGCTAAGGTTTTGTCTCGATCTCCCCACGGGTTTTACTTAGCAAGGTTTTTAACGAGACAGTCATTTATATGTACTTTTATTACGTCAATTCAATAAAATCACATCTTTTGGGGCATATGATATTTTTTTAATTAAATTTAAAAAAAATACAAAGGCCGGGGCTGGCCCGTGTAGGGCCTGGACCCAAGCCCGGCCCTAGCCCTTATGGACTAGGGCCAAGGGCTTGGACCGGGCCTGAGTTTTTCTTCTCAGGCCCGGCACAAGCACGGCCCTGCACTGTGCAGGGCCGTGCCTGGCACGGCCCAAGCCCGTGATGAGCCTGGGGTCAAGCGTGCCGTGCCGGCCCGGCACGTCACGTTTGACATCACTACTTGTCTATAGCTTGTTTTATATCTTTACAATAATTTTTGCATTCCTTAATATAATGAAAATAGATAGATTGTATACTCATGTATTCATTCATTTTGATTGTTTCAGATTGCTCGCAAACTTTGTATTCATTCTTTTTCAAAATGATACCATCATTAAGATAATGAAAATATGAGAGGTTTTTTATTTGTTGTTTTGTTCGCTTGTTTATTGTTTGTTTCATATGTTTACCATAATTTTCTCATTCTTTAAAATAATTAGGTTGTCATTTTAGAGTTTTGTCTGTTATTTGTGGAGACTTATTTGATTTTTTATTTAAAAGAAAAAAGCATTGAGTAGGTGTTTTTTCTTATTTGTTTAAAAAAAATTTCCCTTTCTTGAATAATTAGGTTGCTTGACATTTTGTATTTAAATCTGGATATTCATTAGGTTATATTTCCTATTTTGTTGATTCATTAGCTTTTTTTTCTTTCTTTTTTTCATTATGTAAGGATATAAACGTCTTTATTATAAGTATGACAACATGCATTTTTGTAAATAAAATAAAAAGTATGCATTTTTAGATTGAAGATATTCTATTTATATCTTCATAAATAATCCATAAATATTAAAGGTGTATATTCAAGTTGCCCATCCTAACTTGAGTGGCCCAAAACGTTAAAATCATACTGGCTCCAAAAAAAAAATAAAAAATAAATAAAAAAGCAACTGGATCGAGGCCGACGTAGAAGCCCACATATAGAGTCAGTCCACTTTTTTATAAAGGAAAAAAGATGGATCGAACCGGGCTAACCTAGTTTGGTTAGGCTTGGGCTTAATACAGCCATCCTGCCTTTGATATTTAACCGGACCGGCCCAGTCCGTTTGATACAATCTTAAATTATTAGATCTAACATATGTAAATATAAGATGGATCGGATCGGGCTGACCTAATTTGGTTAGGCTTGGCCTTAATACGGGCCATCCTGCCTTGGATGTTTAATCGGACCGGCCCAGTCCGTTTGACACAATCTAAATTATTAGATCTAACATATGTATATTTATATATGTGTGCTCTGGTAGAGGGAGAGTGCTTTTTATAATAAGTTACTATATCGACAATACATGTTTTTGAATATTAATATAGTGAAGATAACATTATTATAAAGTTTTGCAAAACGCATGATACCTAATACAAATTAATGATTCAAAACATAATTCTTCAATTATGATTTTTTTTCTCTTGTTTCTTTTTGTGAAAGGAGAAGCATACTCTATAATATAAGTTGAAAATGCGATATTGACACCAATCCAACCCACTTAGCCTTCTATTAGAGGGAGTATGAAATCAATAAACAATTATTTCTATCTATAAATTCATAGGTAATACTTTTAAGAGAAAATAGTGTGCATCAGACTTCACAAATGAACATTTAAAGAAGTACACTAAATATCAAGCACGCACATGATTCTTCAGTTCATCATTCTACAATCGATAAAAATTTTCAATCAAGATCTGTCGATAAGCCCATAACACTAAGACCAAGCTTAAACGACAGTTTTGAATCGACAATTTTAATCAATTTGGGTAACCAAACTGATTGTCGTGGATATCTAGAATATAGAACGATTGAAGTGATGAAATTTGACAGATTAATTAACTGATAAAAGGTAACTTTCTACATTTGGCTAATTTAACCTTAATCTACCAACAAAAATGCTCAAAGATATGCGCTCCGTGAAAACTCAAAACTTACCCACTTAGTTTATAAGTTTGAAGTTTGAAGTTTTCTAATAAAAGTTTGAAGATTGAAGGGAAATACTAGTAGCTATAATAGACCGATGACGGAGGTAGCAAGAAACCAATGGCACAGGAAGCAAGAGATATGCAGTTGCGAGATGGAGAGGAGGGCTTGTTAGATGATGGCATTTAGGGTTTGAAATGTCCTTTGATTGGCTAGCTACTTCTCTTATCTGAAACAATAAAAATAAAAAAAAATTATTAAATTTATCTTTAAAGTGTATGAATTAAAATTTTTATACTTTACTCTTAATTAATACATTTTTGATAATATAATTATTTGATTAAAAATAATATTAATAAAATATAAAATATAAAACTCTAAATTTATACGCTCTAAAAAATATTTATCTCTTAATTGCGCACCGAACAAGAGGAGAATACCGTTAACGCGTTGTCAAACCAACACACAAGTACCACACACGCAACTCAATGCAACCGCCTAATATGATATTTCTAACACTATCAGATGTGTCACACTGTCAAGGACGAGATCTCAAGAGAACAAAGATGCCTAAGAAGCGAGGCACTCAAAAAGCCGCCCAAAAACGAGCATTACCACTTTTAACAATGTGATTATGCTTATTTTCGTTTCCATGAAACCATCATTTGAGACCGTTGGTTGTCAATCTAACAATTTAAAAAAACTTCTAATATCAATTCGTGTCTGTACTGTTTGGTACTATAATCACGTCCTTATTTTATACCATACTTTGATATTATTTTGAGTGATATATTTTTTTTATTCTCCCTATTGTAAAAAAGAAAAAAAAAAAAAAAAAAAAGAACCATCCGTTAAACAAAAAAAAAAAAAAAAAAAAAACAAAAAAGTACCATCCGTTAAACGAAAAAAAACAAAAACAAAAAACAAAAAGAATTAAAGCGTATATAATTGGCCAGGCACAGTCTCTCTCGAGTTGAAACCACAAAGAAAGAGAGAGATGGAGGAAGAGGAACACGAGGTCTACGGCGGAGAGATCCCCGACGTCGGCGACATGGACGGCGACATAGACGCCCACCACGGCGACGTCGACATGTCCGCCGCCGACGACGACGCCGTTAAGGTACTTCTCTTTCATTCTTCCTGTTCTTTTCTCCGATTGAAAAAGCGAAAGCGAAAACCCTAGGCATCGTCAAATCGGTGAAACATACTGAATAAATCAGAAACCCTAGCTGAAATCAGTTCTGGTTTTTTTTTTTTTTTTTTGTCTTGGCAGGAGCTGGACGAGATGAAGAAGCGCCTGAAGGAGATGGAGGAGGAGGCCGCTGCTCTTCGCGAAATGCAGGCCAAGGTCGAGAAGGAAATGGGCGCTGTTCAAGGTTTTGAATCCAATATGTTAAGTTGACATTTAGTTTTGCTGCCGTGCTTTTTCCATGTGTGAATTCGCTTGTTTTTTCTTTGTTTGGTTTATTGAAAACTGTGAATTTTTGGAAATTTATCAAGATTTTGGATGCACTAGTCTGTTTGTTGTTCGATTTTGTTGCATCTAATAAATATGAGATGACCATGTGTTAATGTTATATCTTCATTTTAGTTCTTACTTACATCTTGTTGTCTTGAGTTTCTGACTTGTCGGCTGTAGGTTATAGGCTCCGGTATCATCTCGAATAAGTGTTTCTTTTGCTATTGTAGAAGGCTTTTCTGTGTGAAATTTCTTTCAAAGAACTGAATAACATGGTTGTTTCTGTTTTCCCCCAACCAAGTTAGCTCTATAAATTATAAAAAAAAAAAAAAAAGGGAAATAGAATAACTGAATTGTTTTGCTACTTCCGAATTATCTTTTTGCGTTTTAAATTCCTAAATAGCTATGTTATTTGATTTTTATGCAGATCCTGCTAGTGCTGTTGCTTCTCAAGCAAACAAGGAGGAAGTAGATTTACGATCTGTCTTTGTTGGTAATGTAAGTAGCATTATGTTGTTTCCACTTTTTATTTTCTTCACAAAAACTTCCATGCTCATTTTTGATGACTTGGCAGTTTGCATTGTAATTGTTAAGCTGGCATATTTGGTGTTATATTCATGGAGTTTCAAGATACGATGCATTAGTAATGACGGAACTGAGTGACGTTCAATAGATGCATTAGTAATGCAAGAAACTAAAAATCTAAAGTTCATTTTTTTTTTTTTTTTCAACCTGTGGGGAAATGGGGTGGAGGTGAAGAATTTAGGGCAGAAATATGAAAAAGTTTTATTTGTTTACATTTTTCAATCTAGGCTGCTCTTCTTACAATTTAGATTTGATCTTTTATGATGCAACTACAACAAAAAGTTACACCTCTGAACTAGTTACGAGACCATTGTGGGTGTTTCAATTCTTTATGGTCATGACTTAATGAATACTAAGACTCTAATATCAAACAGATTTCAGTTCTCATGAGTCATGCCTCAATGGTTTCTGTTGGTGTTTGGATTTTCAGTGCTTTAAGATTGTCTTGTTGTAGCTTCTTTGAAGTTATTACAGTTAGTTGTTTCCCCTTGTCTTTGGTTATGGTTTCCCCTTCTTTTCCTATTTGTTAGTGGAGTCTGGTTAAAAAGGATTTTCTTTTTCCCTTAAGAACCCATGTATACCTCCCTTTTAAACTTATTCCATTCATCTATCATTTTAGATTTTCGATTGTCATGTCCACTTCTGTTGTTTTGAACTCAAGTTTTGCTTATTTGGTCGCTATAAAATTATTGAAAAAAGAATTTTGAGCCTAGAATTAGTAATTGTTTCTATTGCCGTCTGGATGTGATACTACTAACATTTCAGAATCATGGTTTGACTTTACGTCTTACTATGATCGCAGGGTCATTATTATACATGAAGCTCTCTGTATAAGCGCCGGAATTTTACTATATTTTGAGGGTGTGCCAAAAGTCATTATGACGTCAATTAGGCTTTCATTTCTTGTTGGCTGTGTGAAAAAAAAGGCTCATGCATGTTTGAAATTAAAAAAAAAAAAAGGAAAAAAAGAAAATGAAGAGAAACGAAAATTTGAAAACATGTGAGAAAAATTCTCAAAAATCTTCCGGGAAAGGAAAAAGGAATGAAGAACACTTCAAAAAGAAAAAGAAAGGAAAGAAATATGAAAAGAAAAAAGAGAATGAAAATGAAAAAAAAAAAAAAAAGAGAAACAATGAAATGTGCATGTATGACACGGTGTGGCTTGCTAAAGAGCTCATTTAGGTAGTGGCGTGATATTTGAACTTTTGTTGGTCAAATATGTTGTTGGAGAAAAACTGTGATGATGGAAGAAGTATAATGTAACTTAAGACGCTTCATCTTTGCTGCGCGAGAGGGAAAGAATGCATACTTGGAGACAAGAGGCAAATTACACACATGCAATAATAGTTGCAGTCTTGCAGATCCTTTCTGCGGCTGAAAGGGTGGTCATTCCTCAAGGGTGTGTGCCTGTTAGCGCAAATGTGGCAAGGGGTACATATTTGCTGCTTTCCTGGTCTTAATTCTCTTCTTTGTCAATTGTAAATCCGAAATTAAGTAATCACCTTTGTTTTCTTTTTTGTGGATTGTGCGGGCCTTTTATTAAAGATGTCTAAGTCCAATAACATGTTAGGACTGCTTTCTACCTATTGGCGTCTCTCACTAACATCTTTCATCTTATTAAGCTTATGTTTAATCTGTGATCCTAGGAACATTTGATTACTTTGGTACGTGTAAGATAATGGTAATAGTGACTCGATGCCCATTGGTGAAAGAAAAGCAGAGGACTTGATCTAAAAATCGCAAGAGAATGAATTGCTTTGAGGTTGATCGTATTTGACATAGATGGTTTTGACAACATAGGGTTGAAAAAATGGACGTCATTTTAAACCATTGGTTGCTGGATACGAACCTTTTCTTTTTAACACCGAAATTTTGTCTAGAAAGCTATTATGCTGCTAGATTATAAAATGCTTACCCGAGGTCCATATGTTTAAATGGGGACATGACTTTTGAAAGGAATTTGGGCTGCTTTGACCCGTATGATTGGTAATGAGAGCAACATAAAGCAACATCAATAAAGTAAAACTTCTTATATGTCATCTCTGTGTGGCAGATATATGTGGCTCAGTGTCTTAAGCTAATAGCAGAAGCAGTTCATTTTAAAGCATAATATGTATATCCTAGCTTAGTGAAGGCATAGGGAATGTTCGTAATTATTAGGAGATGCTGGAATTGTGTGGCTCATTAAGCTTTTTAATGAGATACTAAAGAAGAAGCATATGCCTGATGCATGGAGTAAAAATATTTTTGTCCCCATCTTCAAGAATAAAGGAGATGTGCTTAATTGTAACAATTACAGGGGCATAAAGTTAATAAGCCACAATATGAAATCTTGGGAGAGAGTTATCGAAAGGAGATTAAGGGCCACAGCTACCATCTCAGGTAATCAATTTGGCTTCATGCCAGGCAGATTAACCATGGAAGCCATTTTTCTTCTTAGGATTGATAATGGAAAGGTACAGAGAATGTAAGACGGACCTACATGTGGTCTTTATAGATTTAGAAAATGCATATGATAGGGTGCCCAGAGAAATTTTATGGTGGGTGCTAGAAAAGAGAAGAGTGCATGTGAGGTATATTAAAGTAATTAAAGACATGTACGATGGGGAGGTCATGAGTGTGAGAACTGCTGGAGGCTACACGGCAGAGTTTCCCATTCGGATCGGCCTTCATCAAGGATCTGCTCTTAGTCCTTATCTTTTCACTATCGTGATGGATGAGCTGACAAGAGAAATCCAAGATAGAGTTCCTTGGTGTATGCTTTTTGCGGACAATATAGTTTTAGTTGATGAACATAGGGAAGGAGTTAACCGTAAGTTAGAACTGTGAAGACAAACTCTCGAGACGAAGGGATTTAAGTTAAGTAGGACGAAAACTGAATACATGCATTGTAGGTTTAGTAACTCAAGCAATCAGAGTGATGGAATTTCTTTAGATGGTGTGGAGATTGGGGCTTCTAGGAAGTTTAGGTACCTTGGGTCTATAGTGCAATACGAAGGAGATATAGAAGAGGATATTCAACATAGAATTAAGGCATTGTGGGTTAAGTTGAAGAATGCTACGGGAGTTTTATGTGATGACAAGATGCCTATTAAGTTGAAAGGAAAGTTTTATAGGACTGTAATCCGCCCAGTGATGTTATATGGTAGTGAATGTTGGGCCATTAAGAGACAACATATAACTAAGATGAGTGTGACAGAAATGCGTATGTTAAGATGGATGAGTGACCATACGAGAATGGATTGCATAAGGAATGAAGTTATTCGTAGTAAAAGTAGGTGTAGCACCAATAGAAGATAAAGTACACGAAGGCCGCTTGAGGTGGTACGAGCATGTCCAACGTAGACTGCTAGAAGCATTAGTTCGTGTTTGGGAGGACATTATTATACCTAATACTAGGAGAGGGAGGGGTAGACCAAGAATTACGTGGACTAAAGTCGTTAGGAAAGACATTCTAGATCTAGACCTTCAGAAAAGTTTAATTTCGAACAGAATTGTGTGAAAAAGTGAAATTCATATAGCCGACCCCAATTAGTTGGGATTAAGGCTTGTTGTTATTGTTGTTGTACTGAACAAAAAGCTCAGCTGGCTGAAATTGGTGTCTGGTTTGACCTTGGTAACATCTGCACAGCTTATGGTGCCAAGGTTCTTTTACTGACTTAGCTTTGCTTTCGAAAACGTTGGACTGCGTTTTGCAGGTTGATTATGCATGCACCCCTGAAGAAGTGCAGCAGCATTTCCAATCATGTGGTACCGTCAACAGAGTGACTATACTGACAGATAAATATGGTCAACCAAAGGGTTTTGCATATGTGGAATTTGTAGAAACAGAAGCTGTTCAAGAGGCTCTCCTTCTGAATGAATCGGAGCTGCATGGCCGGCAATTGAAGGTATTTCCTAATTCATTTCTTCAGGAAGAAAAAAATGAAAGCAGAAAAACATAAAAAAAGCTCATTGGTCTTGGTTACTCCGAATATTATATTACATATGGTGTACCAAACTATAAAGGCTATTTCATCTCCTTAGGGTTTGTCATGACGTGGTTATATAAGTTTTCATTTATGTGTATTCCAGGTTTTGCCTAAGAGGACTAATGTTCCTGGGATGAAGCAGTACCGTCCTAGACGTTTCAATCCTTATGCGGGTTACCGCTTCAGGAGGCCATATATTCCGCCTTACGCCTATTCTCCTTATGCCTATGGGTAAGTTTCTTTTCTCTCACTTGCATTGCCATTGACATGTAGAAGGTAAACGAGATTGTTGACTTTCCTCTTCAAACTCGCCGCAGCAAGGTTCCCAGGTTCAGAAGACCAACACGCTATATGCCATACTACTAGAATGTTGTTTCATCTCCTTACTGCTTATATACACCCGGTGGATGTATTCAAGATTGTTTGCATCCCAAGTATGCTGGCGCATGCATCTGGTGAATTGACGCATCCCCTTTAAAAAGACATTGTAACTCTATATCTAAGGATTACTTGAAGAGTTGAGAATACTGACATTCTGTCGCGACATTTTTTCTATTGCTAATTGCTATGGTACAATGCAGTTGTCGTTATAAGTTAAAATTTTATAGACGCTGAACTATGGTTATGGTTTATGAGCACTGTCAGCTAGCTAGTAGCTAATAGAAATTCCTCGCTCGTATAGGCTTTCTTGGGCCTTTCTATGGTGTCGTTTCGGCAAAGTGCCTGTTCACAAGTAATCATGCCAAGTTTGCAAGTAATTGTGTACTGTTTAAAGTTTGCTAGCCCATCGTTATATTTTGCAATTCCATCGTTTAAAGTTTCCAAGTAATCGTACGAGTTTGTTAGTAATCGTAATTCGAGCACCGATGTTAGGAATCCGTATCCCTACTCTATTGCACTTTCTGGAACAAAACTACAAACGGCACCATTCATTCAATTCTTCTAAAAGGGACGATATAATCAATAATAGACACTCAACGTAGGGCTGTACAAAAAACAAATAAATAAATAAGAAAATTGACTAACCGAGAGAATTGATTGTGTTCCCATCTGTATTCTGATAGGAAATCCTAAATTTACAGTATAAATTCAGGATTTATGAAGGAACATATATTGTATTCTGATGGTAAATTCTGAATTTACCATACGGTAAATCCTAGATTTACAAGCATAACTAAAAAAAATATTTAACTTATATTAGTAAGTTAATATAATTCAGTGACAATGAATCCTGTATTTACACTTTAAATCCTGAATTTACAAAGAATAATGTGTTTTGATGGTAAATCCTAAATTTATTATGTAAATTCATAATTTACGAAAGAACAGAAATTGTGTTCTAATAGTAAATTTTAGATTTGCACTGTAAATCTCGAATTTATGAAGAAACACAATCTGTGATCTGATTGTAAACCCTAGATTTACGAACATAACTAAAGAATGTTTATAATATATTAGTAAAGTTAATATAATCCAAAAACAGTAAATCTTAGATTTACACTTTAAATCTAAGATTTACAAATAAACATATTTTGTGTTCTGATGGTAAATTATAGATTTACTACACCTTCATATATGTAATTCGCAATCTCATACAATAGTGATCAGAAGAAAGAATGGCCGGCATGAGAGAGAAGAGCATACACACGAACAACAGATAGAGCGAGAAGAGAGAAAAGGAGATCGAGAGGGAAAGAGAATAAAAGGGAAAAAAGAAAAAAGAAAAGAGTAAAATTAGAAAGTGAAAACTTCAAAACATAAAAAGGCCTATTCATTTCTGTATATTGGTAAATTAGTTATTTACTACCGTAAGTTTTAATTTAGGCCTATTTTCTACAATTTTCCTAAATTAATGTGATAATATGTATCTTCGATTAATTAAAAGATTCTTTAGAAATATCTATCTATATACTAACAAGATTAGATGAGGGCACATTCTCCAATTTTTGCTCCAACCTGCTTGTGTGCTTGACCTATTAACTCGCTTACTTTCAAGCTTTTTTTCCTTTCTTTTTTGTTTTGTTTTGTTTTGTTTTTTTTTTTTTTTTTTGAATTGCACTTTTAAGGTTTTTTTCCTTTATGTTTTTTAATCTATTGTATTTTAAATGGTGTATAAAAATTTTTGCTCCAACCTACTTGTGTGCTTCACCAGTTTGCTTAGCTTTTTATAATTTTTTTTGTACCTTTTTAATTCTACTAACTTTAATTATTTAAACTTACTCTCCAATGGTTTCTTTTTTTAACTTTAATTGTTTGCTTTTAGAATTTTGACTACTATTTGACTATTATATAGCTTGTTATACAATATCATTCAAATATTAATATTATTGTATACTATAATATTTAACTTTTACATTTGTTAATTATTGTTATTTGTTGGCAATTATATGTTCCTATTAACTAAACTTTCATATACATTATTAAACTCAAAACCATAATTTTAATGGTTTAATATATTAATATTCTTATAATTGACTAATAATATTATGTTGATATCCATATTAATACCAATATCAATTAGTAGAGTCAACATTACTTTACTCTCTTTTTTTATTTTAACATTTTTTCTTCCATTTCTTTTCTTAATATTAATATATTCTCCTTTTCCTTTAATTTTTTAAAAAATTTTGTATCTAAATATTAAAAAGATATGCCAATTATTATTGTTAATTTTTTTACTATACTTATTCTCTCATTGTAACTTTGATATTTTAATCATCTTTTCATGGTTATTAATATTAATTTTTTATCCATTCAAAAAAATACCTTTTTTTTTTCGGTCTAGAAAGAGGACGTGCCTCAGCACGTCCCTTAATACTAGTATAATAGAAGAGAGAAACTCTAGGTGTACTTTTTTAATCAATTTATTTGTCTCATTCACAAGCAAGTTATCATTTTTCTATTGATAATTGAAGTTTGTAAATAGAAAGAAATGAAGGGGAAAGAAGGAAAAAAAAAAGAGCTTGTTACAACAATTGTTTTGTCTTGTAACATGTTAGATACCAAAAGTTCCACATAAAATGATAAAAGACAAATAATGAATTTATAAATCTTTAGGTTCTCTTCTTTTGTAAGTCGGTTTTACATAAGTAAATTCTATCTAATAGGTTTGTAACACAACACAACTAATACTCAAATAGTTTGATATATTGGAAATAATATAGCTACCATTTTTAATCTCAACTTTTTAATACCAACTCATATTATAATCTTTTACTAGTAGATATGACATTTTAATATTAAATGATGTGACAAGTTTTAAAATATCCATGAAGAAAAAATAACCACACGTGTAATATAAATTGATAGTAAAAAGCTGGGACTAGAGTTGAGATCAGTAACAATATATTATTATTTTAGTGATTGAATGCCAAATTTACCCTCGGTTTAACATTCTCTTAATTGGCGCTTCAGCTCCATATGTGTGAACACGAAGGGGAACTTCAGCAGCCACGTAAATGATTGAAATTGATGGTCAAGATGAGCATGTGATATTTTAGTGGAATTGCTGTTGTTTTCCATCTTTATCTAATCCATTTGTTTTCAGCTAACTCTGGTTGTTGATTGCTCGTGTCCAACTAACAATTGTATAGCACGAAAACCCGATTACCGGTTTTCAACCAAGGATTACTTGTCACGTAAGTGTGCATTTTGGAATGCATGCGTAAATTGTACTTGGTTGAATGGAATAATCATTTCTTCCTTTCCTTATTTGGAGCAGCCTTATAGGAATGGAAACGGGAATGGATAGACAAACAGAAACAAGAGAGAGAAAGAGAGAGAGAGAGAGAGAGAGAGAGAGAGAGAGAGAGAGGAATAGCAATATTGAATAATCATTTCTTCCTTTCCTTTTTGTGAAATGCTTTTTTTCTTTTTTCTGTTTTTTTTTTCTTCCTAGGAGGAAAAAACAAAGGGCCTTTCAGCAAAAATGAATAAAGAGGGTAAAGAAGAAAATGTCTTACCACGTGATGAACTTGTGGCAATATTGTCCGATTGTTTTCATAGGCTGATATGGTTAATATGCCCTTTTTTTTTTTTTTTTTTTTTTTTTTTTTCAGCTAATGCGGTTAGTATAAAACTCCAATTTGGAGGTTGGTGGAAAATATACACCTAAAAAGAAAGCCCCACATGTAGACAAGAAAGAGTTCAACCAATAATTTTATATCATTGACTAACAGCCCAACATCTTCATGGTCATACAGGAATTCAGCCTTGAAAAGGCATAGCAGGCAAACTTGTGCAAATCACAGCCCTTACAAATTCTTAAACATTATGATATGTTTCTTGTGTTCTTCAACTTCCCCACAAATGGGTTTTCTTTATTAAGTCTTTTTGTCCAAACAAGTCCATAAATAAGTACATGAAATTAAACTCAAATCCAAAATACAAACTAAATGAGAAATACAGCTCAAAAGCTTTTTTTCTCATAACTAAAATAATTATAAAAAAAAAAAGAAACTACTAGAACCATATTCTGTAAAAGGCCCACAATCTCTCTTTTGAATCCCTCAAGTTGCTCTTTTAGTTATTAGGACCATCCCTAAGTTGGTGGGGAAATAAGTGGTGGCTGCAATGTGATGTTTGGGGGATAGCTAGCTCTATGCCAAACTTATTACACCCATAATACATTAAAAAATTGACGACCAGAAAGAATGTAGGACTGTCTTTAGAGGCTCACAGAGAGCAAACGTTGAGTCCCCATCCTCCTCTTCCTCAGCCTTTCAGCAATGATAAAGGCCAACTCAAGGGATTGGGAAGCATTCAATCTTGGGTCACAGTGTGTGTGGTACCGATCCCTCAGGTCGTCAAAGGTCACTGTCCGAGACCCTCCAATGCACTCCGTCACGTTCTGGCCTGTCATTTCTAGATGTATTCCTCCAGGGTGGCTCCCTTCCTGCTCATGCACATCAAAGAATGCTCGCACCTCGGCCTGCCAAAAAGTAGAATAAACTAAGAAATAGAAAGCTACAAACATTCTTTTTTATTTTTTTTTCCATGCTTAACGAACAAGTTTGGAGTTCTAATCTTATGTGACTTTACAGACTTAATTCCACTTGCCCCTTAATCAAGATGATCTGGCCTATGTTAATGGTGAATCTTTCTCCATTGAACCCCCTAGAAAAGGATTGATTTTTTACCATTGCAACACTTATCAACAATAGTAAATGCAGTTATCAACAATAGTAAATGAACTCATTTCGTCTACACATATATGATGCCATTTCGTGACTCAAACCTCTACCAAGCTCAATCGAAATAACACTATTCTACCAACCATTGATTGTAACCAAAAAAAAAAAAAAAAAAAAAAAAAAAAAAAAAAAAAAAAAAAAAACAAGTTCAGTACTTTTCCCTAGTAATTTGTTGACATTTTAGTAGTAAAAATAAGAAGTCTAGTAAGGAGAGAAATCATACGAGAATTGCATCAAAGGGACGTGTCTTGAGTCCACAGGGTGCACTTATAGTGTTTCCATGCATCGGGTCAGAGACCCAGGTCACAATTTGCCCTGCTTGGCGGACAGCTCTGATCAAATGAGGAAGCTTGACCCTCATATTCTCAGCACCCATCCTACAGATTATAGTGATCCTTCCTGGCTTGTTATTGGAATTCAAGATTTCGATGAGGTTAACTAGCTCTTTTGGATCCATTTTGTTGCTTACCTACATTGAATAAGTATGATAGTTAGCAATTTTACTCATAACATGATACAACAATGTTAAGGCTTGTCAGCTTCAAACATCAACTAGATTTTTAGAGATAAAAAAGACAAATTGTGGATACCTTGATACCAAGTGGGTTAGCAACTCCTCTTAGAAACTCTACATGGGCACCATCCAGTTGGCGAGTACGCTCTCCAACCCAAAGCATGTGAGCAGAACAATCATAGTACAGCCCAGAAGTTGAGTCCTTCCTTGTAAGAGATTGCTCATAAGGCAAATGCAGACACTCATGGGAAGTCCAGAATTCAGTTGTAGTCATGATAGGATGGTCCAATGTAAGTCCAGCAGCAGCCATAAACCCTAAGGCCTCATCAACCCGATTCGCCAGCTCCTGATACCTATTGAATCATCCAAAGATTTCAAGCCCACGAAAATTAGAACTCACGTTGATCTTAAAGGTAAAATACTGAAACTTCATCAAAATTACTCCTCCAATAGTCAAGTTGAATCATAACCGGTATTTAAACACTCGAGGGATTTACGATTATAAACCCATTTCTGCAGTGCGTTTTTTGCTAAATGGCTTTTGGAGTAATAAAACTAAACCACTATAAATGCATTTGGGAATAATACCTATCTCCCTGCTCGCTGTGCTCGGCAAAATCAAGGTTCCAATCGCTGACTCTCTGCATGGCTGCATAACCTCCAGTGGCAAAGGCCCTAAGAAGGTTCAGAGTTGCTGCAGATTGGGAATAAGCCCTTATCAACCTCTCAGGGTCCGGAATTCTGGATTTCTCATTAAATGCATCACCATTGATGTTGTCCCCTTTGTAACTAGGAAGCTTAACACCATCCTTCTCCTCGAATGGCGCAGATCTCGGCTTTGCAAATTGACCCGCCATTCTTCCCACCTGTTATCAGTCATCCCACATTCTCAATCACGCAAATCAAATGCAGACAAAACACTAAACACGACCACTTCTTCTAATCGTCAGAATAAAAGAAAAAAGCACTAAAATCGCAACAAATCTCCTCAAACACAAATCTATTCTTGTAATCAATATACCAAAATAAAAAAGAATAAAAAATCACCTACCACTTATAAGTATGCAATTCTTTTGACAACAATTCAAATTCACACAAAAAGTTCAACACCATACAAGACCATTACAAACCACTACTTCCAACCATTGCAACCACCACAAGAAAAACCAACCTAAACTCCTTAAACCCCAACAACTAAAAACAATTAATTCCCAAACTTGATATCCCAAAAGCAAAAAAGTTTTCTCTTTTCTCTAATTTTTTTTAAGTACTTGAGTAAAGATCCTAAAAAATGTAATCAAAGGCATCAACTTCATCATGTAACCAAACCCCACAAAGAATTTATCAAAACACAACAAAAACAACCAACCAAAATAAAATAATAATAATAATAATAATAATAATAATAAACCAACCTTGACGATAGGCATTTGGCCACCAAACATGAGAACAACACTCATCTGAAGAAGCACTCTGAAAGTATCCCTAATGTTGTTGGCGCTGAACTCCTTGAAGCTCTCGGCGCAGTCCCCACCCTGCAACAGAAACGCATTTCCCAACGCCGCCTCGGCCAGCCTCTCCTCCAAATTCCTCGCCTCTCCGGCGAACACTATCGGCGGAAAAGCCTCGATCGTCGTCAGCACCGACTCCAGCGCCGCCTTGTCCGGGTACTCCGGAAGCTGCAGAGCCGGCTTGCTCTTCCAGCTGTCGAGTCTCCATTTCCCGGAAACCGCGGGCAACGGAGGCTTCTCCGACACGACGCCATTCTTGGAGGGCTCGGCGGCGTGGACGGCGGAGATGGGATGAATTTGACGCTTGGTTTTCTTGGAGGGGAGGAGAGAGAAAGTGGGCTGGTGGGAGTCGGAAGCGGGAGACAGAAAGTGGGTTTTGTTGTTGTTGGTGTTGCAGAGAGATTTGGAGGACAGAGTTGAAGCGTTTGAGAGAGCCATTGTTGGGTTGGGACGACCCTTTCTTTCTCGCTCTAAGATAGCTGAATTAGAGAGAGAAAGAGGAAGGTGAGAGCTCTCTGAAAATGGGATCTGCGGGGGGGCTATATATATACAAGTATATGTATATATGTGTATATATAATGGAGGGGTTTAAGGGGGAAGGAATGGAGTTTGGTAGGGAGGTCAACGAAGTCAAAGGGAAAACACAATGGAGGCGGGTAGTTGGGGTCTAAAGGGTAGAGAGAAAGACTGGGAAAAGGACAATTTGGTAAATTTGTATAGTGTGGAGGGCAATTTGGTCAGGAAAAAGTTTAATTTTGTTCTTTGCATTTGGTAACACCAACCATGCCCTTTCTTTATTACCTACCACACAGGACCAGGGCCACGTCCAAATAATTTTTTATTCTCAAACTATTTGTCTCAATTTTTATTTTTTAATCTTAATTAATATATTTTTTATTAATATAATTATTTGATTAAAAATAAATATTAATTAAAAATAAATAATAAAAATTTAGATTCATACATTTTGTGAATTGTTTGTCTTTTTTTAAGATTAATTTCATAAATATCCCTTGAATTTTATTTTTTATTTTAACATGCCTTTTAAATTTTAAAAAGCCATAATTTCACCCTTGAAGTATGAAAAGTACTTCACCATAAAAAAAAAAAGAGAAAAATAGTTTAAAACACCCCATGAATTAAAGTTTTTTTAAAATACCCCTGAACTATTAATTTTGTATTAACTTACCCCAATTTTGTAAAAAGTTAGGGACAAGTTGACATAAAAATAATAATTCAGGGGACAAATTGCCTTAAAATCAATAATTCGTGGGCATTTATAACAACATAAATAGTGTCATATCATCATTTTATTAGTTTTATAAATAAAATGACATTTTGAACTGAGGTACATACTTTTAAGGGTGAAATGAACCCTTTTTAAAATTCATAAATACAGGAGCATTTTTTAAATTCAGAAGACGTATTAAAAAAAGGTACAAAATTTAGGGGGCAAATATGATTTAATCATTTCCCTTTTCTTATTGGAAAATGACTCTAGAGCAAATCTAAAATTAAGAGATTTTTATAGTAGGATTTGAATAATACATTATTCATATATTTTTATTTCTCGGCGGATACATTTGTATTAGAAATTTTTACTTTTTTTTAATTATATTGATGTCGTTTTGTCTGTATCCAACCATGAAAAACATGAACATATGAAGTCTTACTATTAAAAGACCCTAAAAACTAAATATAAATTATATTGGGTATCACCCAATTCTTTATCATAAATGATTTTCATATATCATTAAGTTTAATTTTTTGGGTTATTGACGTTGTTAGTCACTAAATTATGAGTACTGTGACGCTTTAATTTTTAAATTTTAAATTTTGACAAATTACTTTATGAATTTTAATTTTTTTAACCGCTTCAACCTCTAACTATAAAATTGATAAAAAAAAAATTTCTGAAATTCCAGTAGCATAATAATGAAAATTTACACAAATGATGACATTGAATGCAAATTATTCTCTTCAGTATCATTAACATCCTTTTAAAAAGTAGAATATTTATTTTTCTGTAACTATTTTTGTTAAAATTCCAATCATTATGCGATTCAGACATGATTACTTTTGAGAAATTTCAAAAATCACTATAAAATCTAGTGTTAAGGACTGAAACTGTCAAACAATCAAGTTTCAGGGATTGATTTATCAATATTAAAATTTTAGGAATCAAAGTGACATAATTCTCTCAATTCAATGACTAATAATACTAATAACCATACATTCTTTTTAAGAAATAGCGTATGTATTGCTCTATGCTCTTGGCACGAATCTGCAACCCCTTTTCTAAATACACATCCCCAAATAATTTTGAAATTATTAAATTGACTTTTTATATTCTCTCATTATTCTAAATTATCTTTAAGTATTTTCATAAGATAATCAATTATTGACCCCTTCAATCTCCTTTTCACACTCGTCATTTTATTTTAGCTCGTTACTTTAGCACAAAAAATTTTAAGCGATAGCATGAAGCCTCTCTTCATAAGCAAACAACTCCAAAAGAAAACACAAAAGAAAAAAAGAAAACGAGACGAAAGAATGAAATTCTCCCAATTATACATATACTAGTTGAAATTAGTGATGAAACTTCGGGTGGCGGGCATGCCCGAAACCTGAAAATTTTCAGGCACGGCGGGTAGGCACCATTCGCCGCCCGTCCGACCATTTTATCCGGGCTCGGGCTCTAGCAGCCCGAGAAAAAACCATTCTCGACAGCCCGCCGCCGGTGGAGAAGTCGAGACCGCCGTCCGCCGATTTTTTTTTTAAATTTTCTCGCGTAACTCGATTTTGCCTGAATGTGCCCGAATTTTTTGACCGTTAGCTAGATTTTTGCCCGAATTTTGAACACAACGGCTCTTTTGTGCCCGACCTGACCGCCGCCCGATCTATCCGACCCCAACGACTCTTTTTCTTACCGTTGCCCGATTTGCCCGAACCCGACCCGACCGCCCGAAAGTGTGTGTTACCGTTGGAACCGAATTTTTGAGGGAAAAATTTTTTTTTTGAAGCCAAAAAATTTCCTATAAATACCCCCCCTCCCCCCAACAATTTTCCTCACCTAAAACTCTCATCCTCTCTTAATTTCTCTTAAATCTCTCTCAAATCTCTCTTAATCTCGCTTAAATCTCTCTCGATCTCTCTTAATCTCTCTCAAAGCGCTCTCAATCTCTCTTATTTTTCATAATGGCTTCTTCTGGTTATGGTGGTGATATTCCCATTGATGCCCAATTCAACATCGAAAAAGGCAATTTCCTAATGTTTTTCAAAAGCATGAATTGCAAACTACATAAATAGTTGCTGAGGAAACTGCAAATCCGAGCCTTGGTGGACGTACTAGAGGTCGTGGACGTAATTGTGATGGGCGTGGAGGAGAGGCAAGCGGAAGTGCTAGTGCAAGTGTTGCAAGTTCTAAGAAGAAATGCAAGCGCACCTCAACAGTTTGGGAGCACTTCAACACATTCGAGGAGGTCGACAATAACGGTAACATTAAATACATAACTCAATGTAAATATTGTGGTGATAAATTACAAGATAACACTATTCACGACACTATACACTTGAGAAGACACTCTGAAAAGTGTCTTCAAAAGCAAAGAGGCGGACCCGATCTCCACCAAACACAATTATCATTTGACTGCCAAACCAGATGTCTAACTACTTAGAAATACGATCTGCAAGTTGATCGTATAGAAATGGCACGATTAGTAGCCACATTAGATCAACTAGTTAGTTTTACCGAACAAAGAAATTGACAGCGTTATATTAAAATTGTACATAATCCTAATGCACAATTTTTTTCAAGAACTACTCTTAGGAAAGATGCATTAAAATTATATAAACAAGAAAATGAAGCATTAATAAATCTTTTACACTCTACTAGTGGTTACGTTGCGTTAACGGTGAATATTTGGTTCGCCGTTGCCAACAAAGATTATTTAGCTGTAACCGGACATTATTATAAAGATTTTGATTTAGATAAGAGAATATTATGTTTTAAATATGTTATAGGATCACATACCGCCAATTTAATATATAATACAATTTTATCTGTCATTGATGAATATAGTTTAAGGGATAGAGTAATGGTCATAATATTAGATAATGCTACTGCAAATACTAAAGCAATAGAACTTTTTAAAAATGATTTAAGTTTATTCGGTAATAATGATATATTTCGCCAATGTTGTGCATGTCATATAATTAATTTAATAGTAAAATCCGGTTTAAAATCAATGTCAGGTCATATTAAAAGAATTAGAGATAACATTGCTTGGATTCAAGGTAGTAATCAAAGAATACAAGATTAGTTTAGGTTTCTACAAACATGTAATCAAAATCCTAGAGCATTAGCCTTAGATATGCCCATAAGATGAAACTCCACTTATATAATGCTTGAACAATGCATCCCCTATAAAAGTGTTATAACAAACTATGTTAGTGCACAATTAAGACCATGATTTATAGATGAAACTGATTGACAAATTGCCGAACTCTTGTTTAACTTTTTAGGTAGATTTCACGAAGTTACTTTAAAGCTTAGTGGAACTTATTACCCAACGTCACCATTAGCGTTAGGAGAACTTTTAAGAATATCTATTTTATTTAGTGAATTTAGGACACACGAGGTTTTAGGAGTTCGCATCGCTTCTATGGAAAATAAGTTTAAAAAAATTGGTCTAAATTACCAATGTTGTATGGTTTCAGTATTATTTTCAACCCTAGATTAAAATTATATGGTTTAGAAAGTGGATTAGATAACTTAGGTGACTTTTTAGATATCGACACTACTGACCAATTTTCTATTATAAAAAAAAAATATATTATCTCTCTATAACTCTTATGAAAGTAGGCTTAGAAACACACCTCGTGTAGAACAACCACAACAACGAGACGACAATCCGCATTCATTCTTGAATGTTTTCGGGTTGTCTAAGAAGAAGAAGAAGACGACGATGACGACTCAAGGTTAAGAAGAATCTGGGAGTGGATCTTCATCAAGAGGTGGTGGTAACAGCGACGGCTTCAACGAGTTAATGGCGTACCTGAGTGAGGGCTTAGTTGTAGACAATAGTGAAATGTTTGATTTGGTTCGGTGGTGGAGGGCACGAGCATTAACTTGGCCGATCCTAACTCGACTGGCAATGGATATTTTTTCAATCCCAGTCTCCACTGTTGCAGCCAAACAAGCATTCAGTACAACCGGCCGAATACTTAAAGAACGGAGAAACGCATTGCAACAGGATATTGTTAAAGCTTTAGTGTGCATCAAGGATTGGGATCGTTCCGACCAACGCTTACATGATACAATTTCACCGGCAAGCCAAGAATAGATCGATGAATTTAATAGATTAACTTTTAATTTTCAAGACGATCCTTCTGCTTCAAATTAAATTCTATTATTGTAATTTGTAAATATTTATTTACTTTGTAC